GCCACCAATTAAATAAAGCGATTTTTATTCAGTTTTTATTATTTTTTGTAATAAAGTTAAAAAAATATAAAAAATACATTCTAAAAAACAAATACATTCTAAAAAATACATTTAAAAACAAATATAACTCTATAGAGTTCTATATTTCAGAGCGTTATATATTTCAGTGTTATAGTTATATATTTCAGTGCGCCCATTTAGTTCGGTAACTAATCTTTATATTTTTTCACTTTGTCCACTAAATATGCTCGCTCGTGTTTTTCTGAACAGGTTCTTTACATCCTCATCATTTCAATTACATCCTCATATTCATACAGCAACTCGTTTTTCCTTTCTGGCCATTTCCAATAAATGTAGCCTTAGCCTTAGAAGAAACCATACACCCATTTTTTTATAACTATCCCAGGAAACTAACTTTTCTCGTTATTTACAATGACAAATGTGCCCTTATAAATCTTTTCTTTGGTTTTATAAACTTCAGTTTTAGTTGCCGTATTTTACGTTTTTGAATCTTCATCTGAAAATGTGCCTCCATTTGCGGAAACGGGTGTCACTGACGAATGTGTCCTTATGAATATCTTTTTTGGTTTTATATTTTTCTATTTTAGTTTCCGTATATTCCTTGTTTAAATCTTCATCTGAGTATGTGCCTCAATTTGCTGAAACAGGTTTGTCAGTGACGAATGTGTCCTTATGAATCTCTTCTTTGGTTTTATATACTTCTATTTTAGTTGCTGTATTTTCCTTCTTTGAATCTTTATCTGAGGATTTGTCTCCATTTGCGGAAACGGGTTTGTCAGTGGGTTTGGCTTTTGTAGTCTTTGACTAAAGCCCGCTGCACAATAGCCCGGTAACGGGAACGGGAACGGGAATCCTAACAATAAAGGTGGGAGAGACTAAAAAACCACTGTTGATAGATAGGGTTCGCTTAGTCTCTCCCACATTTACTTTAGTTTTCCGTTCCCGTTACCGGGCTGTTGTGCAGCGGGCTTTAGTCTTTTTTGGTTTGTCTGCTTTTTTCTTCTTTTTTCGCTGCATCTTCTTGCTTCTTGTTTTCTCTTTTCCTTTTTCTCTCTTGGTTTTCTGCTTCCAAGGCTTCCTTTTCCTTCTCCTTAGCTTCTGCTACTTATCAGAGGTCAGAACACTTGGCATCCCAGTCCTCTGTTTATTTTACGAGTGACCGGCCAGCTATTTTATTCCGTAAGGTTGTTCTAGGAACGCCGATTTAGCTAGATTTAGCCGCCGGTCGTTTCAAATAGCCACTAAGGCATTTTTCAGTTGATCCGGTTAGTATTGAAAGAAGTAGGTACCTTGTTTTTTGCTTTGCTAAATTTATTTTCTTTGTCGTATCCATTTTAAAACTGCAGCAAAAAGTACTCATTGGAAAGCTAAGTAGGTACTATAATCTGATTCAAAAAGTCTTTAAGCCTTTAGTGTAGCTAGGACCTAGGTACCTAAAAACAGCCTGGTGATCAAAAGTAGTGGCTATAAAATAACTTTTGGCCATGGTGGCCAAAAATGGAAAAAGTTACCCCCGTTTTGGCCAAGGCAGTGGCCAAAACTGGAGAAATGGCCATTTTATTATGACCTGTTTTGGCCACCGCTTTTTACCCAAAACCGGTTGGTTAAACTTTAGAAGCATTATTTTATTGTCATTGTTAAACATTATAAAATTAAAAAAATCACCAATCATATTAAAGCTTCTATTCTATTAAATGTTTTGATCAAAAAACTTACCTGCGTTTCTTAACGTTTTTGCTAAAGATTGGATGTCAACACATTACAACACCTTTTACACAACCTCAATTTCTTTACAATGATACCAACATAATAAACTAAATGCACTAAAGCAAAAATAATAACCCAAGGATTCGGCGGGAAATTAGATTTAGGGATATTTGTAAACAGTTCCCTTAATATTTAAAAAAAATCGAACGAATTGGCCACAACGGGGTAAATTACCGGTAACTCGCTAAAAATTCCCTAATGTAATCGTAAGAGTCATAACTGTTGCACCCGCGATTCTAATATTTTAATCGCGGGTGCAACTCATTTTAGTCAACGTTAATTTTAATTAAAATGACAACTTACGTTCTATTATTATAGAATGGTTTTAACTTTTTATTACCGGCGGTAATAAAAAGTTAAAACCATTCTATTTTACCGAGTAACTGGTAACTGCATGAAATGTCAAATCAGTAACCGCGGTTAATAATTGAGCTCGGAAAGCAATTGTTAACAACGCTGAAGAATTTTATGATCTGGCTCGTCGCCTTTCTCCAAAAATTTCTTTTATATTTGTATCCCAAAAACAAATTAAAGAATGAAAAACCATGTTAAATGATAGGTGGAAAGGACTAAAAAATATACCAGCCATTTAATCAAAACATTTTTTTCAATTTGAGGAGGGTAAGAGCATTTGTGTTACACGAACGTCGAAGTCTAATTTGAAAAGCAAATTAGTTTTGACAACTGCTACTAAAAAAAAACGTAGAAAAGTTACAAAAAAAGTTACGCAAAAGTTAGGCGTTTCTGATGTTTACAGCGATTCTGAAGAAAACCTTAAGGCTGATAAATCGCCGACTATTCCAAACAAATAATTTATTAAAGTTACATAGGAAAGTGCTAATTAGTGATAATACAGCATCTATGATCTCATATCTTTAATTTAAAGTTACATGGAAATGTTTATATTCACTACAGTGAGACGTGTTGCAGCCGCGATAATTTTATGTTGCACCCGCGACTGGATAAAAAGTGAATAATTTATAATATTTATTTCTTTTAATAATTTTATTTAAGTTAATAATTAGTTTGTTTTGTATTCTTTTAAAGAATGTAAAAATAATTTAATAAATATTCCATAATTAACAGACTTTTTTCATTCTAGCTTCATGAACTTTAATGGTGGGCCGATTTCGTTGCACCCGCGATAGCACTTTGAACCTCTCCTGTGTCTATTTATACATTTTATTAAATGTTTTTTATATTAATTTTTTTAAAACAGATTACAATGTAATCCCGCGACCAGTCATTTCTTTAAAAAGAGTTTTTATGTTCTTAGTAAGAAGCCCTAAGTGAGTCTAAATGTTGCACCCGCGAGTACGGAATCGCCCAATAATAACATAATACGCGGGGTCACGTCGTGACATAAAAAGATCACGCGCGTGTCACTGCTTGACATAAAACGACAAACTTAATCACTGTGCCAGCAATTGGATATCAAGTTGTGACATGTCACGTCGTGACTTTTTCGTGATATCACAAATGTTTACTGGGTACAAGTCTATGGAATTTGAAAATTGGAAAATAAATCCGCGGTTCTCACATAATTGAAAAAAAAATCTATTAAAAACCAAAATTTGTTACAACTTTGTTATTCCTGAGAATTAAAAAAAAGTAAGTTTCGCATGTAGGTATACATTTCTACATTAACAATTTATATTTTTTTTTGTCTACTTGGTTTTGAGTTATCACCATCTTTGGTTTTGCTATGGCTGCCATAATACAATTTTACATAGTTGGATAGTAAAAAAATCGATTTATTAAACTATAAAAGTTAATGGTGCACCTGGTGCACTGCAACATCGCCATAGCCATTTTAAAAACAAGAGATGGTGATGGTAACTCAAAGTAACGAATAAATTGGATGAAAATGTAGATAAATGTGTATGTTAACAAGTCAAACTTACTTTTTTTTAATTCCCAGGAAAAACAAAGCTATGAAGATTTTTGGTTTAAATGGCTCTTAGTTTTTTTAAAAAGTTTTGAGAACAGCTGCCTTTTTTCAATTTATAAATAATTGCATTTTATATATAATTCTGTTAATAAACTCGCTGCAATATAAATTTTGAGTTCAATAATTAAAATAAATTGACGACGTCATACGATTAGGATGACGATACCAGAATTATTTCAAGTGACTATCGTCATAACAAGTAGTTTTAGCTCCTTAATAAAAAAATACCCATAAATGCATACAAGTATAATTTTTATACATTTTAATTTAATAGTAAACAGAACTCGCAAAAATAAGAAGAAAAGTTTGTATGAACTATATGCTTTAAAGTTTAATTTTGAAGAAAAAAATTAAATTCGTTTCCGTTTTATTTTTAATCTATAAATAATAATAAACTTACAAAAAAGCAGTAGCATACCCAAATTTTATTTTTAAATATCAATTTGGGATGTTCCAGCGCCGCCTCTGGATTTAATTTAATTTAATTTACATTAAATTATGCCCTTTGCCCACTACTAAAAACTAAAAGGTTTTTATCAAATTCGCCAAAAAAATAAATATTTTTTTAAATAACCTTACCACCCTGTCTCTCAAAAATGAAGCTTTAAAACATACATACTTTTCTTCTGATATTTTCGATTTCTATAGATCACTAAATTTTCCCAATTAAAATCTGCAACACCCTGTATACATGTAGGTATTATACTTATAGGATACTTGATGCAACCTGTATAAAGGTAGTGTGCAAAACTTGTCTTATTATTATTATATTTAAATAAACGTTGACTGTTAATATTTTAGCCCATAATTTTATTTCACCCAAGGCCGGAAGTATGTTGCTGTGATATACGATAAGAGGGTCGTCGCTATTGTTACTAGCGATGCAACGTGTTTTAAAAGACGTTGCATCGGTATTAACGATAGCAACGACGCTTTTTACGTTTATCACAGCTCCAACATATTTTAAATATTCCCCTGCACGTTCGCTCACGCATGCGCACTAGCTATGTCACGGAGTGATATCCCATTGAGTGCGTATTGCGCTTGAATGTCACTACTTGATATCCCATTGATTGTGTATTGTGGAAACATATGAATGCGCCAGTGATATCACGATGTCACGACGGGATTTCGGAGTGATTTCAATACGCAATCACAAATGTTTACTGGGGATATACAAGAGAAATTGACTGTGCAAGGTAAATTTGAAGTGTATCCTGAGTGCACCCTTGCGAGTTTTTGAACGTGCTTTTTAGCTTACCGTGATTTTTTTAGTTGGTTTTCTTCTTGCTCTGTTAAGTCCTTTTTTGATCTTTCTTCGACACCTTTGTTTTTAAACTCTATAGGTGTGTTTTTCTTTATATTTAGTATTTTTATATCATTGGCAGCTTTAACTTTGCTTAATTCCTGTTGTTTTCTTAAAATTTCAGCTTTTAAACTGACCAACTAAAAAGTAATATATTTACAAAATACAAAAAGATAATTTTATTTGTTATACTTACAGAAGATTTGCTTATTTCGTAGGTGCTCATTTTCAATCATAGATTATAAATTCCTTAATAACAGCATTTAACAGAGATAAAGAAGGCGTTACCAGACGTTTATTAGTAAACCCTCATTTTTAGGTTAGGTTGTGGCAAAATATGACATTTCTTCGAATGAACGTATTCAATTACGCTGTGACTAAGGGCACGCTAACGTGCCGCGATTCGAAATGTAAAGGCAAGTTACGTTATAATAATTATTAAAAATCCGTTTTTGTTCCCAGAGCGAAAAAAATTGATGTCAAGCTAGATAGCTCAGATGGTAGGGCGATCGCTTAGCATGCGAGAGGTACCGGGTTTGATACCCAGAAGTTGTCGAACTGTTTTTATTTTTTTATTTCATAAATTTGTTGTTTCTTTGTTAAAAAGTGTTGGGTTGGGTTGGTTTGTTTTAAGCCTGAATTATAGATTGCCTTCCTTCCTTCCTCGCGTAGTCGTGCCCGTACGATTTGTGCGTCTTGTAAAAATTAAATTTATACAGGGTGTTTCATAATATATGCGCAGGACTTCAGGATGTGATAGCTCATCCAAAGAGATGAAAAAAGTCGCTATTAACTTACCCTCTGAAATGCACAATTTTCGAGATACAGGGTGTTGAAATTTTAGAAAAAAAATCGTTTTTTTTTGATTATCTCTGGAACCGTTTATCGTACAAAAAACAGCTTTTGTAAGCATTTTCTACTCATAATAAGCTATGTTTTGCGCAAGAAGAAAAATTTTTTTTACTCATAATTGGTGGAGATTTTAAAGGGGTAGCGGGTGTTTTTCTCCTCAACTTCAACGCCCCTAAAAAAAGTACGGTTTTGAGAGGCCCATTCGAACCGCCAATGTTTTCTACAAAAAAAGGTACTCTTGGTCATAAGCTCTAAAGTTGACCGTTTTCGAGAAAAATCAACTTTTATGTTTAAAAACATGGTCAATTTTTTGAAAAAAAAATTTTATTACTAATTAAACAAAATTTATTTTAACGTTAGAAAAAGTAACAAAACCAAACGATAATTGCAAAATTAAAAAAAAAATAAAAAATGATTTTTTACTCAAATGCTGAAATGTGCGAAATGCGTTACCTTTACGGTTTGGAGAATTAAGCAAAGACAACTTTTAAATCATTTTTTATTTTGCAATTATGGTTTGGTTTTGTTACTTGTCCTAACGTTAAAATAAATTTTGTTTAATTAGTAAAAAAAAAATATATTTTTTTTAAATTGACCATGTTTTTAAACATAAAAGTTGATTTTTCTCGAAAACGGTCAACTTTAGAGCTTATGACCAGGAGTACCTTTTTTGTGTAGAAAACATTGGCGGTTCGAATGGGCCTCTCAAAACCGTACTTTTTTCAGGGGCGTAGAAGTTAAGGAGAAAAACACCCGCTACCCCTTCAAAATCTCCACCAATTATGAGGAAAAAAAAATTTTTTTCTAGCACAAAACATAGCTTATTTTGAGTAGAAAATGCTTACAATAGTATATTACACTACAAGGGCAGAAAGTGTGAGATTCCTGCACTGCGCGCCATGATGCCCGAGGCGAAGCCGAGGGCATCATGGCGCGCAGTTCAGGGCACTCACACTTTCTGCCCGTGTAGTGTATACTATTTTTCTTACTACCCCGCAGAAAATACGGGAAAAAATTAAATGTATATAAAAAAACTTGTGTCAAAATTAAAATCTGACGTTTAATTTAATTCTGACGTTTACATTCAAAATCAATCAAACTGTAGCGTTGTCATGGTAATTCAGCGGTGCCAATACAGTAAAAATAAAAGGTTGTATTTTAATTAACATATTACTACTTTATAACAAATAAAAGTACCATTAAACACTTAAAACAACATAAAAAGTAAAAAAGTAAAAACATAAATTGTTTATTTGTTGTTATAATTGCAAAATTATGGTTTAAAACTGTCATATTTTTGTGTTTCTCATGTTGGCAGTACGAAATTTGAATGTTAAGCACACGACTAAAAAATTTTTTTCTTACTACCTCGACTCAAAATACGTTGTTTCGTCCCCGATTCCACGGCAGAAAGTTTACGTTTCTTGCATTGGTCAAGCTATACGCGCACACTCTAATAGCGGGAGTAAAAATTTTTTAGTCGTGTGCTTAACATTCAAATTTCGTACTGCCAACATGAGAAACACAAAAATATGACAGTTTTAAACCATAATTTTGCAATTATAACAACAAATAAACAATTTATGTTTTTACTTTTTTACTTTTTATGTTGTTTTAAGTGTTTAATGGTAATTTTATTTGTTATAAAGTAGTAATTTGTTAATTAAAATACAACGTTTTATTTTTACTGTATTGGCACCGCTGAATTCACGGCCTACTGTTATTTATTTATCAAGCTCTTCAAATGGAGATAGGTACATAAATACACATTTAATTTTTTCCCGTATTTTCGGCCGGGTTGTATTTTCGGCCGAGGTAGTAAGAAAAATAGTATACACTACACGGGCAGAAAGTGTGAGAGTCCTGAACTGCGCGCCATGATGCCCTCGGCTTCGCCTCGGGCATCATGGCGCGCAGTGCAGGAATCTCACACTTTCTGCCCTTGTAGTGTAATATACTATACTCCCGCTATTAGAGTGTGCGCGTATAGCTTGACCAATGCAAGAAACGTAAACTTTCTGCCGTGAAATCGGGGACGAAACAACGTATTTTGAGTCGAGGTAGTAAGAAAAAGCTGTTTTTTGTACGATAAACGGTTCCGGAGATATTCGAAAAAAACGAATTTTTTTCTAAAATTTCAACACCCTGTATCTCGAAAATTGTGCATTTTAGAGCGTAACTTAATAGCGACTTTTTTCATCTTTTTGGATGAGCTATCACATCCTGAAGTCCTGCGCATATATTATGAAACACCCTGTATATTTCCTTGTAAAATTCGCGATGACAACTAAAATAGTTGACATTTGTTTTTGTTTATATTCTGCGTTTTACCCATTGTGTGTAAATATGAAAGATAATAGGGCCATTCCACGCGTAACGGATAGGATAGTTGCCGTGTTTTTATTTACAAAATAATATTGTTCTATTATATTACCAATGTCAAATTTTTATAAATAGTTCTAAACTAAAGCTGTTTAACAAGGTTTTTATTTGGCAAATTTAGTTATCGTGGTTGACTCTTTAATTCCTTAAAAATTAATAATTTAAAGCGTAACGGACGGGACTTTGCAATAGTCCCGCCCGTTACGCTTTAAATTATTAATTTTTAACAGTCAATCACGATACCTAATTTTGACAAATAAAAACCTTGTTAAACAGCTTTTGTTTAGAACTATTTATAAAAAATTGACATTGGTAATATAATAATTGGTAATATAACAATATTATTTTGTAAATAAAAACACGGCAACTGTCCTATCCGTTAAGCGTGGAATGGCCCAATAGCATAGAAAAAGAAAAATAGTATATTCTGTAACAAGTTTGGAATACAGCATATTCCGCTCGAGTGAAGAGTTTGTCACACGAGCCGAAGGCGAGTTTGACGGTTTCACTCGAGCGGAATATGCAATTCCAAACGTGTTTTAGACTATAGTCTAAAACACGTTTGGAATTGCATATATAAGTATATATACTTTTTCTACGTTTCCAAAAAATATCATAGAAAAATAATTTAATTGGAAGAAAGTGAGGTTGGATCGGTCTAAAATTTGTTAGATTTTCCCGGACAACATTCGTGATATTCATACGAACATCATGTCGTGATTTTCACAAATTTTATTCATACTGATATCATACGGAAGTCACCGCGTGATAAATGAAAATCATACGAACGTCACGTCGTGATTTTCACAAATTTTATTCATACGGACATCATACGGATGTCACTGCGAGAGAAATGAAAATCATATCGTGATTTTTTATGCCATCGCTGTTTGCGATTGACCGATGGCCTAAAAAATCAAGTTTTATGCCAACGGTGTTTGGATAATCATTTTTGCGCCACGTTCGTACACTAAGAGAAAAAATATGTTAAATCAACAGTTTTTGCGGTTAAATACATTTAATATTTTCTTGGATTTAAATGAACTATATATAGTTAATTTAAATCCAAGAAAATATTGAATTTTAAACTGTTGATTCAATTGTTAACATACTTTTTCTCACAATCCACACAACAAGGTCTGTTCGATCTTTATTCGCGCATGTTAAAAATCAACCTAGTATACATTCATACGTTAGTCGCCCTTTTTATTGTTTACAATTTCATTGTTTGCAATTATTGTGATGTTTTATGCGGATTTATAATAGTTGTTTGGTTTTTTCTTTATTATTGTGGATTATAGTGTAAAGTACTTTGGTTATAACACCATAGTGTTTAAAAATTCTTCTTTTGTTAGTGCGCTTCTGTTATTTTATTGGATTATTGTGGATTTTGTTGACTGTACCAGTATACTTGTGTTTATTGTGCAAAAAATATTGTTTAACCAGTAAGTAAAACTATGGTATAGTATATTACACTACAAGGGCAGAAAGTGTGAGATTCCTGCACTGCGCGCCATGATGCCCGAGGCGAAGCCGAGGGCATCATGGCGCGCAGTGCAGGACTCTCACACTTTCTGCCCGTGTAGTGTATACTATTTTTCTTACTACCCTGCAGAAAATACGGGAAAAAATTAAATGTATATAAAAAAATTTGTGTCAAAATTAAAATCTGACGTTTAATTTAATTCTGACGCTTACATTCAAAATCAATCAAACTGTAGCGTTGTCATGGTAATTCAGCGGTGCCAATACAGTAAAAATAAAAGGTTGTATTTTAATTAACAAATTACTACTTTATAACAAATAAAAGTACCATTAAACACTTAAAACAACATAAAAAGTAAAAAAGTAAAAACATAAATTGTTTATTTGTTGTTATAATTGCAAAATTATGGTTTAAAACTGTCATATTTTTGTGTTTCTCATGTTGGCAGTACGAAATTTAAATGTTAAGCACGCGACTAAAAAATTTTTACTCCCGCTATTAGAGTGTGCGCGTATAGCTTGACCAATGCAAGAAACGTAAACTTTCTGCCGTGAAATCGGGGACGAAACAACGTATTTTGAGTCGAGGTAGTAAGAAAAAATGTTTCTCTTATTTATATATATAGTATATTACACTACAAGGGCAGAAAGTGTGAGATTCCTGCACTGCGCGCCATGATGCCCGAGGCGAAG